ACCATTAGTCAACATTTCAAGCTGAAACTTCGCCGTTTTACTATAGTTGAGTTGCTCTTTTCATTTCTGGAGTTCATTTTGACTCATTTTCTCGTTTTAAGGGGGAGGGGTCACGTGACCTGTTAGTGCAAGTCGTCTATTATTTTTTGTATTTCTTTTCAAATTTGGGGAATTTATTAACAATATTTACCGATAAAATAGTGGGAAATAGTGGGGTAGCGGTAGGAAGGCAAAAGTTGATTACAGGCTTCTTAAAGCCATGTCTGATATTCAAGCTTCTATAACATGAAAACCCAGTAGCAAGATTGAATAAAGAAATGATAAACAACACAGTCCCAATGAGTCTCTGCCTCGTGCATCTGATTTCAGCCAGACATTCCTGATGTACGCATCGTCAGCGTGACAGTTTCCGGTGCCCCAAAATGTACCCATATCCAAGGGTTCTTTCTCTTGATCAGAATCATTTCTGTGTAATAATTCGCACAAATCACACAACCAATTGGTCGTCGTGACGGATGTATAATTTTTCTTCCACTCGAAGTATCTGTTATAGGCAGTGTCGTTGGAATCTAGATACTTGAGGTAACTGGCTAACGACTTGGCGTTTGGGAAGTCCAGAATGTCTATGTACGAACCAGGAATTAAGACGTCTTTGCTGTAACTTCCTGCTACCAAAACTGGAACAACCTCGTGGGCTAAAGCATTCCTCCAATACTTTTCGGTTACATAGTCCCTGCAATTAAAATTTTCCAAAGCCAAGTAAAACTTGTACCTTCTAGCCATCTTGTCGCAGTCTCCACTGCCTCGAGTACAGCTGCCTTTGGGTTGGTGATCGAAATAGCGTTGACATTTGCCATAAACATCAACGTGGAGGTACTTGGAGATTTCTTTGACGACACTCAGTCTAAAGGACACACAATTACTGGCCAACCACAGAATCAATCGATCTTTTCCTGCAATAAAGTTCTTCTTAGTAAACTCATCTTTATTGCTCGTAATAGGGACGTAATATCCGTAACGATCGAGTACGTTTGAATCTGTACGATACGTGATAGTCCAATCAAACATATTGCTATACGTTTTTGCTGAAAAAGGCATGTTCTCTGGATTCTCTTGCCCATACCAAACCCATTTCTGTCCTTTGGTTTTCTTCCACAACAATGACTCCATTCTTGACAAACTAGGCATGGCAGAAGTGTGGAAAACTACAGCATTACTTTTTGAGAAGTCTTGCCTTGAATAGGTAACATAGCAAGAAGATACTTTACATTTTCTACCGTAAGGATCCGTCAGTCGCTTTTCCTTGCCTCTAGCCTGAGGCCATGGCATACTTCTGAAGTACGGAGTATAGAATAGTATGATTTTATAACCACCTGTAACATTGCTCAAAGGCGCCATCCACGACATCCAAGATGGCTTCACCAAGTCGAGTTTCTCTGCGAGGTAAAAGACTTGTTCTCTTGCAGCCTCGTAAACAAACAATATTGTAATAAAAGTTGTTATGACAAGAAGAACAAGCATCCATTTTAAGTACTTCAAGAAACTGTTCATTTGACTAAGATTAAAATGAAAACAATTTTTTTCAATGGCGCTAGCCGGTCGGTTCTAATGTGATTCCGTTTGCCTTGGTTAGTTGTTTCTAAGGCCAAACTCGTCCAAGCGCAACGTTTCAAGCTTTACCAACAATAAGCTGTTTTCACTAAGATAGTTTCACTAAAATACTTGCTCTGAGTCATTGATTCCAGCAAAAAATGTCTTGCTCATTTATTGCTTACCCACTACTCTTAAAATATAAGCCGAACTTTGTGTGATAGGATTACGTTGTCACACGTGCTCAAGGTACGGACGTGTCACGCTGTCGTATTCGCGCGATGTGATTCGTTCAAACGGATTGCGTCAAGAGACAGTTCGTAAAGCAACCGTTTAGTCACACTAGCAGAGGCATTGCGAAAACGCGGATACCGTCATAAAATAAAATATAACTTTATAGTTTATCAAATAAATGGTACCTTAGACTGTAAAAGCAAAAACAGTCTGGTATCTTAAGCAAACCCTTCTTCCAGTTTTGTAGTAAACTATCAATACACCTAAAAGATAATGTTTCATAATATTTAATCCACATAATTATTAATATAGCATTTGTCAATGTTGCATGATAAAATTTCTTTTTTTGGTGTTGTAAAGAAGACAGCAAAGAAAAACCAAATAGCAACAACAGGGCTGTCAACCCCCAAGATATTCAAATCTGGAGAATTGATAGGGAAGGGACATGACGTCACAGCGGAAAAAAACACGTGAAAAGACATCATTCACTTTGTAACATTTGATGTGATTGGTTTATTTCTGACCAATCAGATTATTGCTTATAGTTACAATGGCCTTCTTGCAACAACAGTTTATGAGGAATGTTTTGATTTTGTTAGCAAAAATAACTTAAACAACACAAAATAATTGGAATTTTATGGTTATGAAAGTCGAGTCTCACAAGAAATGGTCAGCTTCGGCAATTATCCGGGAGATTTGAGACTCTAATCTGGAGACCGGGAGATACGGTCCCAAATCTGGAGACTCCAGGTTTATCCGGGAGAGATGACAGCCCTGCAACAACTGAGTTTGCTAGACTTACAACCCAGAGTATGACAACATTTATGCAATAATGGATACATTAATACCTATTAACTATTAATCAATCAAAGAAAAACAAACTGTGTTAATTATATAATGGGTTATATAATGAAATTAAATGATGTTTAGTACTAGAAATTATCCATACCCTCTTATGGAGGAAGACCCCTCCCCCCTCCTACCCCCAGAAATTCCTATTTTCTTCCATACAAACTCTGTAATTTTCGTTTTTTCTCTCTGACCCCCCTGCACCCCACCTTTCGGAAATTTCAAATTCCTCTGTGGGGTGGGTACAATAACTAAACAATATGAGAAAAGCTGGAACTGGCTTTGCAACAACAGCAATACATATTAGATTTGATATTTATAATAAAACAATTCATTGGTTGTGAGTATAGATTAGTTAAACATTCAGTGAGAACTTTTTGTAGTTATTATCTAACAGCAAGTTAACTGTTGCAATCAAAGATGCCAAAGACTTGAAAATGTGTGTTAAGTTGTATAAGCATTAGATATTGCTGTAATGATTATTAAATAGTTTTCCTAACTTTTACACAAATTTGTAATCCATTACAAATTTAATTATTATCAATATTAATAAGCCAAAACACTCATGGGAAAAGGGGTGACAAACTCCATTTACCTGTGACATCCACAGAAATTTAGGGTTGTTTGCAAAATTTAGGAAATTTGGGAAATTTAGCAAAATTTAGTCAGACTGTAACCCAACTGGTGGGACTCAATTTTTGAAATATTTAAACACTATGCTTCCTTCTAAAATTATTAATAATAAAATGTTAGATCCTTTTACTGTATATTAATGTCATTAAATATTTGATGAAATGCACAACAAATACATTCAAATTTAAAATGGATTGGCCTTAAAGGAGTCAATCAGGGCTTTACCAGAATATATTAAGCCAAAAACACCAGCAACCACTCCGAATACAATAAGAATAAGCTCACCAACAATGTGATACCATCTTAAGTATCTCCATTTAAGCTTCAAATGGGCAATGCAAGGAAAACCAAAGGATAAACATGTACCAGTGAAGCTACCCACAAAGCCCATAAGAAGACCAAAATGTGGGACAACCAGGGAAATGAAGAGAGCAAATGCAACTAGCAGGATTCTAGTTATGAGTAACCAAAACCAATGGTAGTTTGTGTTGGGACCCAAGTGAGGGAAGTGTCTCAATAATAAGTTGTCAAAACTCTCAACAACAACAAATAAAGGCAATGGAAAAGAGAAAAACACATTCAAGCCAACGAGAACTGTGACTGCAAAGTTAAAAGCTACGTTATCAGCTAAATTAACTGTTACTACTTGGTCGGTGGCAATTCCAAACGTGAGGACAGCGAGCAATCCAAACAATGTCTTCACAATGCCTGATATCATGAAGGAAGTGTGCATCATGCAGTTGAAGTGCTGTGGTTTCTTCATGCTACCTTCAATTCCAGGAAACACGGCATGAGCACAGTAGCTAAAGGTTACAATGCCAAAGCCAATAGGGAACTTCTTGCCATTGAAGCTTGGTATGTTATCAAGTGACCATTTATCATTGTGTACTATGCAATAAGCCAAGGTGACTGCGATAGATGACATCAGGGCAAAAACAGCAATCATGCTCATCCATGCAATGAGGGACAGCCGTCTGATGAACACACTTGGCAATACTGCTGCTGCACATATCACAGCCCATTCATTTACAGTTAAGGAGACATACTTTTCAGTAATCTGTGAGAACATTGTCGTTAGTAGGATCAAGTAAAGCATTGCAGCAGAGTACAGTTCTATTGTCTGGACAATGTTTACGACTGTACCACCAACTCCTGGCCACACCGCCTCTCCTACTTCTGGATAGTTGGTGCGAACCCTCTTTTTTCTTTGACTGCGTGGTGATATCTCATAAAGGCAATCCACCAGTAGTATCCCTGTTACGTCACAGAATAAAGCCACAATTAAGATGCAGCAGGCTGCAGCCCATCCACCTTCTTTGACTGCATAGGGTATGCCAAGTATACCCATCCCCTGAATAAGGTTCGTCACGTTCCATCCTGCCAGTAATGCAGATGCTTGCCTATCAGTGGACTCCTTCTCTATTAGGGATACAGTCATGGATACCGTCATTGATCGAAACCTCTTGAAATTGTCCTTCCAAGGGCTCGATTGAGAAAAGTCTACTTTTCCAACACTTCGACTTCCACTTTTAATCAATGGAATTCTCTCGTCGTCGGTTTCAGGATACGGCGTATTTACAAAAGGAGAAGTATTATTTGTGTTAAGTGTTTCTTTTCCATAAGTCCCAAGTCTATCCGCATTGGAAGACGGCGATAAGTTGAGTCGAATATCCTTTTCGGAATATCCATCATCCGCCATTTTATTGGTCAGGGAAAACTCCTTTCTCTCCTAGCTAAATGGTCTTTTTTCCAATGAATGAAAATCGCAAGAACTCCGCTTGAAGTCTATTTACTCGCGTGTTTCTTCTTGCTTTTCTATTAAACTTTGGCTTTATAGTTAATGATTGATTTCTTGATTGATAATTAGTAGTAGTTATTGAAGTCGGTCCCACATGTAAATGTTGCGTCATCCGATRAAGACTGAAGACCGAACAAAGGACCGAATACTAGTGAAAGAACACGCTTATGTAAAGTACCGAGTTGTCAGTTATTCTATGCTTACGCAACGCGCGCGACAAAAAAATGCTTCTATAGTTACAGGTACGTGATTGGCTAAGGATATGAATCTTTGTCTAAATATGGAATACTGTGAGTATAATACTCCACGTGAATTGACATAAACAAGTTTAGAACTAGAAGTGAAGACGATCGGACCTCGATTCGAAGAAAGAAGCAAGCGGAGGAGATTTCACAACATTTATAACAAAGCGTTACGAAAGAACAGTGGATTTCTAGATTTGCCCCAAACAAACAAGATAATTTGGAAATGGCCACTGCTGGCGATCCCGAAACCGGACACATGGGTGATGAGGATATTGCCTTAACAAAGAGCCAAAAGCATGGTAGGGTAAACGAAGGGTCTCGCTTGCTTAGTCATGATGTAGAACAGAGCAGTAGAAGTCGGTTACTAAGTTACTCCCATCGTGGTGGGATAACTGAAAGTTTAAGACGTCTTCGTGCATCGACTATGACTGTTTCCCTGCTGGAGAAGCCGTCCGAGGACCGCCGCGCATCTGCGTTCATGGCTGGTTGGAACGTGAGTAATCTGATCCAAGGCACTGGTATACTTGGAGTTCCCTATGCTGTGAAAATGGGTGGCTGGGCTGGAGTAGTAGCAATCTTGGTTATTGCGTGGATTTGCTGCTTTACAGGAAAGCTACTTGTCGACTGCCTGTACGAGGAATCCAAACGAACTGGCCAACGAAAGCGCGTAAGGACCAATTACCCTGAAGTTGGAGAGGCTGTCTGTCCAGGATGGGGTAACAGGATAGTGAGCATTGTTCAAGTCTGTGAGATGTATGGCGGCATCATCATGTACATTGTACTACTTGCAACAGTCTTTCATGACATGTTACAGACTGTCAGCAACCTTGATATCTACACATGGGCAGTCATCTGTGCATATGTGGCATTTCCTGGAATCTTCATCCGCAGGGTATCGGTGATTGCCTGGATAAGTATGTTCTCAGTCTTCTCCCTCATGTGTGGTCTTGGGACGCTGATCATCTACTGCATCACAGAGTACAAGCAAATGTCTTTCAAGAATATTCCTGTCTTCAATGCCAAAACATTTCCAATTGGTTTTGGAGTCATTGTGTTCAGTTACTGTGCGCATGCTGTATTCCCAGGAGTAGAGGGAAGCATGAAAGAGCCAAAGAAGTTTGGTAGCATGATGAATTACTCCTTTCTGCTGGCTGCTGTCATGAAGTGTTTATTGGGTTTGTTGTCTGTCTTGAGGTTTGGTGCTGACACAGAACAAGTCATCACTGTCAATGTCAACAGTCTCGCCTTCAACTATCTTGCTAACGCTTTTGTTATTACTAATGTATTCCTAGCATTTCCACTCTGCATGTTTGTAGTTTTGGAGACCTGGGATACCAAGATGTTGCCATTATTTCCTCATCTTCAACCAGAAAGCAAATTTCACTGGTTTTGGCTGCTTGTTACTAGACTGTTGTTGGTAACTTTTGCTCTGTTTCTTGCCATTGTCGTCCCTCATTTTGGTCTTCTCATGGGATTTGTTGGTAGTTTCACCGGAACCTGCCTGTCGTTTGTATTCCCTTGTGTCTTTCACCTCAAGTTGAAGTGGAAAAAGTTGCATTGGTATGATGTTTTGTTGAGGTGTTTTGTGATTATATTTGGTTTGGTATGTGGTGGTTTTGGTCTTGTGTTTTCTGCAAAAGAGCTTGTAAAATCATTCAATTCACAAGGTTTTAAATAGCTCTTGTCCAATGGTAATTAACATAAGGCCAGGATATTCACATGACTTACGAACAAGAAAACCGGACATAGAACTAAGCTCCAGTTCAGACTTCATACTTTTGCAACACCATATCCAATAGATGCATTTTATACTCAGAGATTCAGGGCTAGAAGTGTCAGAAATTATAGCCGAAACATTAGTGTAATGTGTAATCAGAAATTTAAAAATATAGCGTAACAAAAGCCAATCATTCGATACTTTTTGCCATAAATACACAACTATTTGATTTGATGGACCAAAAGTTTGACAATGATTTTAACTGGACCTACAGTTTCAAAAACTAAATTGTTAAAGGAATATTGAACAATCAGCAAAATCTAACAAGGCATTGGTCATTGACCTATTACTTCTATGGAATTTATTTTAAAATGTGTGTTAAGCATAATTCCTTTTTCAAAATTTCCCAGCCCTACTTGAAGGAGCTGATAAGTGTGTAGCCAATCAATATTACTCATTCTGTATCTAAATATGTTGGTAAATTATCCCAGAAGTAATCATAAAGTCTAATTGTATCAATTAACAGAATAATACTCTCTTAATCGATTATTTTTTAATTATATATATTTTCCTAATTAATTAAGAGCATTGAAAATATTTTCAAATGGTCTTGATAACAGAAACGTGATTAGTATTTAAAGATATCATAAATTGCAATTATTAGTCAATTCCATTTTTATTTTGTTGCATTTACTGGATAGCCTGTAAATATTTTGTAACTTTCAAGCATGACTCCTTACAACCTGAGATGGATCAAAATAATAAGTATTTAAATTAATGTGAAATTTGATGCTATATTGAAAGTAATAGCATGATAATAGCTATTTTAGATAGTTAGAAAATTGGTTAGAGCATCCTCTCATTTAAAGCTTAATTGAGTACTATTAGATCATATTTTACTTCCCTTAGTCTTTTTAGAATAAACTTTGTTTAATGTGATATCTTGGAATGAATATTGTTGTTTGTCTATTTGCTTTAACAGCAGGGTTTTGAAGAAGCAGGGAAGGATACCAGTCTTCCATTTGCCATCCTAAATTTTGGAAAAATCTCAGATCCAGGAACAATGAAATGTGGAAAAATCCCATTTTAATAATTACTACTTCCCATTTCAAATGACAACTTTTTTATTCCTGTTAGAATAAAATAATTGGCTTAAAAACAAGAATGGAAAAGAAGGTATTGATGCTTGATAAGAGACTGATCGTTTACTATGTTGTGGGGGAAGGGAGCTTCCTCAGTAACCCAGGGGTAAAATTCTCTTGCTCATATCTTACTCTTCAACTTACTACTAGGAAATAAGTAAAATTTTTACCCCCCTACAATAGAAATAAAAACAATAAAAACCCCCGTATCCCCTTCTTCATCATTTAGAAAATGTTATGCTCACAATAGCTCAAATTAATAGTCATTTGTATTGCATGAAAAACATGAAAGGTAAAACTGTACCCCTCACATCTTACAATTACAAAAATGTACCCCCAATTTTAAATGATTTTGAAAATTGTACCCCCTTGCAAATCCACTCCCCTGCCCCCTCTCCCCCCTACAATGTAATAAACATTGGACCCCTAATAAGTTGAAAACTAGGTGATTTAATATACATTTTACTTAACAAGTTCACCCTCTGTTACAATACACCAAGAGTATTAGTCCCCTTATCCTACCACCTTGCACCAAATAGACCATGTGAAAGACTGGGAACAAGCACTACAAACAATGATTTCAAAAATATATTATTTTCATTACAAGAAAGACCATGTCTAAATTAGTAAACTTTGGAAAGTTCTGTTGCCATAATAGTTAAATCCCTGCAGAGTTAAAAGTATACAAACCTTTCTAATTTCAAACAGCTGTAGCTTTTTATCATTTAATGTTACTACACTGGAATTTTGGAAGATCACTAATTTGGATATACTCTTTCTAATGAAAGCATTGTTGTCTTCTATGACAGATAAACTAAGGTTTCTCAAGGGACACGCAATTTTTCATATGGTCTTGGTCTAGAGGTGACCCTGATACTGAGGCCTTTTGTTTCCTTTCTCAATTAGACACTAGCAAAAGAGTAAGGATCAGTAGTAGGGCCACCATACCTCCAAGGAATCCACCCAGGGGGTACTCCCCTATATTTGCTATACGGGTATGTGCCGCCCTATAGGGTATGGTTTTTCGGCTTTTGGGTCTGGGGTAGGGTATCATTTTTTGACATTTGGTCTGGGATAGGGTTACAATTTTGTCATTTTTGTCTGGCAAATAGGCTATGCTTTCTTTTGGCACAAAAACAATAAAAACGTTAGTAAATATTGATTGCAATCTATTAAATAAATGTCCTTTCTGTCTTTTAGTCTGGGATAGGGTGTACAATTATTCTTAGTTTTAGTCTGGGGTAGGGTATGTAAAATCAAAATTTTAGGTCTGGGATAGGGTCAGGGTTTTGAGGTCCTGGCGGCACATCCCTACCCAAGTTGGGGAGGTAGTATTAAATGGGGCATACTTGACTGTTTTAAAATTTCTTTGGGGTTCCTATGGATTTTTGCTACCTATGACCTTTTTTAATGTCCCTTTGATTTCTTTTTTTGGGAGCTTCCTTTTCTCTTGTTTTTCTTCTTCTCAGAATCGGATTTTATTTGCAAAAATATTGTTAATCATTTTTAGGAAAGAATAAATATCAGAGTTTTTATTTTGATTAATTTGTTTTGTTAAATATTCACAATCAGAACCTTTGAAAAAATTTCAAACATTTCAATTTTATTTCTCAAAATCGACCTTTAGGTGTAAAAGACAGCACATCGCATAAAGAAATCGATTGAAAATATCCGAACAATTAATAAATAACAAAATAAATACTAATTATGACGTAATTTATTTCTGCGGCTGTCAAGCGTGAATGATCTGCATAAATTATCCTGAGAATCAAAGTACAAAATGGCGGAACTGAACGAACGGAAGTAGGTTTCAGAGGTCTTTCCTGTGCCCTGTTAGTAAAAGCTAGTGCAAAATTAAGAATATGGACAAGTTTGAGCAGTGTTTTTGGGTAAGTCAAAGTCAGTGCATACCTGTCGAAGCTATAAACAAATTAAATGAGTCATAAAAACTCCAAATGCCTTGAATTTTGAAAGTCCACCGTTTATCCAGTGCGGACCAAATATCATAAACAAAGATTTTGCTTCCTCTGTATTTTTCTAGGAACAAAAGGGCTACGATGAGCTTCGTAAACTTTGCCGTCAAGGTAGTGACTTCTGCAAGGAAGTTGCTAATATTCTGAATGAAAGGTACTTAGTTTACCTTTGATTGATCAGCAATATTTATAATCATTATTCTCGTACATAGTTATACATCTATTTGTGTGATTTCATTCGTCTGTTTGCTTCTACCAGCTAATACAGAATTTATACTCCTTTTTTTTACTTCACATGTTTGTAGAATTGCTTTATTTGGAGTTTTGTACCTCGAGGTCTTGCAGATAAATACAAAGAGTATTATTAATCACATTCAATTTGAGCTTATGAGAAAACAACTTGTGTTTTTTCTTTGCATCGTGTATTGTTTACGGTAAACGTTTAGAGGAATTAACGTTGAAAGAGCTAAGGAATGGAATATTTGTACACATTATGAGAAAAATAGCCTTAAAAAAGTAGCCTTAATTCCAGAGCTTTTTCTTTGTCCAAGTACTGTTTTTGTACTTCAAAGGAAAATGCCCCCAAAAAAACTTCCATCGAAGTACATTTCTTCCGTTCGCAATTATTCAACGTTAATCAACAAAAGTTTGATAATCTTATGCTATTTAAATTTTGTTTTTAAGCTACTTAAATATGTTTTTGATCACTTGAGAATAACATGGAAAAAAACATGATACCATTATACACTTTGGATTGGGGAATATTTAAAAACATGGGTTACCAAAGCTTTCAAAGTTTATCCGTGGTATTTTAATATGGCTTTGTAACTAATAATTTATTTCTTCTCCTTAATAGCATTTAATGACGTCTACATGTAAATAACATCAAACTTTGTCTCAATTCTTTTAAAATCAACAAATATTTGCCATGTGTCCATGTTGATGTTTGTTTTTTAAACAGTGATATTATTACTATATTTAAGTTAAGTTACTTGGCTGTAAGGGATAGCTAATTCATGCACAATAATGATGGCAACCATCTGTGTAATTTTGGGTCAACAGGCAGGGACAAATCCAGGCATCAGTAAAATTACAAGGAATTTCCCATCAAACACAGGAAAAATAATATATAGTAGCCAAAACAAGACATTTGCCAAAGCTCAGGTCTTCCAACATATATCTTATATGTAATTTTCAGTATGAATAGTAGTGTTGATGATTATTCGGAAATATATATATATATGATTGCTAAAAATTGAGATATTTATAAGTATGATGAGTAAGTAGCAAACTGAGAACATGAAAATTTGGAAGAATGGAGACAGTGAGAAAATTGAAGATATTATATTTATAGCCTATATAACAGTTTGAAGCAGGCTGTGGAGGATACGAGGAGAAGGGGAAAGAGGATAGGAAATGGAAAAAGGAAGAGAGAGAGGAAAGTGGGAAGAAAAGTGAAACCTTCACGTGAACAATTTTCATTTTCTGAAGGCTATTCTCTGATTCAAGCATCAGAATGCACAACTTCAACAATACAAACACTTTGAAATTTCATGAAATTTCACCGGAACATGTGAATATTCTACGCAATATCAAGGCTCACCCTGAGTGAAAGAGAAATCAAAACTGGAGTTTTCATTTAATAACTTACTTCCATAGTTCTAATTTGCATATTATCCCATTTTCAGATCAAAGATTGAGCAAAATTATGCTGATCAGCTTACAAAGTTATCCAATAAGGCAAGCAAACTTGGTGGAAAAGATCTTTCTGGGTAAGGATTAAAAGTCTAGTATACTAAGTGAATTCCTATGTGCCGAGGGACCAAGGGGTGTTATAGTTGATTGTTTGATTTTATTTTACAGAACTCTACAGGCAACATGGGAGAAGCTTTCCAAAGAAATAGAAAATGAAGCAGAAGTTCACAAGTAAGGATTTAATTGAGAACAAGATTACGGTTTGAAGTATTTGGTGATTGCATAGTTTCATTTTGCAGCAGTTACTTCGGGCTAAGTTGGAATCAAAGTTCTCAAACTCTTGTCCTTCATAAAACAAATCAAAATCAAAATGTATTGCTTTTGTGACTCATATCAGCCTAGAGATAAAAATGATGATCATCAAGTAAATAAGAATAAATAGAGTGAAGTCATTAAGCCCGTGCAATAGATATTAGACTAATACACATTAGTAGACCTTAATTCCATTGTCTTCTTTTGTGTCTATTTGACTATTATTACATGTTGACTAATAATTTTTATTTCATGGGCTAAATGCCTTCACTCTATTAAATGAGTTTTGTTTCTTATATCTACCTATACTACTCCTTGCAGAACCCTAGGATATCAATTACATAATGAAGGCTATAAACAAATGAAGGCATTTGTGGAAGGTCAAAGTAAAACTAGAAAGACTGTAAGTATAACATTAGCCTAAAGTACTATTGATTCTTGATTCTTTTGTTTGCGGAGCCATAGAATATCGAATGTGTCACTATCAGTGTCTACACCCAAAAGCCTTAAGGTAGGAGTGTTTACTAAGAAAATACAAGTGACAAGTGTAATATCCAATAGTGTTCCACTTAAAAGCATTGTAAAAGTATTTAATCCTGAACCATAGTGACTTACAAAACGTTTTGAAAACTGCCAAAATAAATACAACACTATTCTTGCATTATATGATTGGCTGTATTTTCATTGGTGTGGTTAGTAAAACAAATTACATGCAACTTTTTTATTGAAGCATTTTAAAAGGGCTTTCAAATAAGTTTAAGATGTGCTATAACCCATAAAGACATGCCAAGGCCTATCTACATGCTGCAATTTATGCCTGATTATTTGCCGGAATTTTTCAGGAAGCAAGTCGTGTGTAAAGTTTAGTAGGCTTATATGAGAAATTCTGTGACAGTGCTACAATTCATTCAGTACACACAGGATTTATTTCTTGATTTGTGTTTCCTACTTTACTGCACATGATACTTACTATGGTTTTCTTTCATTCTCTAGGTTGAAGCTGCAGTTGAAAAATCATTGAAAGCTTTTAATGACAAAGTAAATGAGTCTGTTAGGGTATGTTGTGAGATAAAGTTCTACTTTGAAAATGGTTAACAATGAATGTTGTGGTTAATTCAGACAGAATTTTCTTATTCCCTTCACAGGGATAGCCTTTGAAAAGACACTTAAAGAAAAAATAATACAAAAAAAATTACTTAAGTTATAGTTGGAATGGAGATATAAGAGGTTAACCCTATTGACAATATCTCCTAAGATCCAATTGCAATTTAGTGATGAGTATTTTCTTATGGATGTTTGTGGTGCAAGGGTGGGGTCTAATGTTAATTTTTCTGAGTTGCAATGGTCTGGTATTTTCTGTAGTATTACAAATTACAACCAAGACATTTGACTTTTTCTTCTAAAGGCCTGTCTGTCATGCAATGTTTATGGGAACGTCTGTTTACTTAAACATTCCTTTCCAAGAATTGACCAATCTGCATAAACCTTTAAAAATTGAAATAGAGAGAATAAGAGAAAAATATCAAATGCCCTTGGCAGGATTCGAACCCACGTCTTCGGTATTCTAATTTGATGTGTTAACCACTACACTACAAGGACCAACCACGCTGGTAACGCAGCCGGAATATGAAATGTAGGGTACTCGTGAGGATCCCAGAGCGATATTTTTTCTATAGATAAGTTGAACACCGTAGATATGTACGCAAAGAATAGACATAGTATAGTAGTAATAAATTATGCGTTCGGTGTGTATATAATGAAATAGAGAGAGTAAGAGAAAAATATCAAATGCCCTTGGCAGGATTCGAACCCACGTCTTCGGTATTCTAATCCGATGTTAAAAATTGAGGTTGGTGAATTCCAATTTGATTGATGGGTTAGCTGTGCCCTGACTTTGGTCAACCCAAAGGTCGTTTTAAGGGTATTTGATAAAATTTAAAGGTTGAATACAGCTTGCCAATAAAATTTTAAAATGTGTTAAAAATATTAATTATTTGGTTATATCTTTTTATACTTCTGGCACACAGGCTAAAAAGAATTCTTATTCCAAAGCAAAAGAAGTAGAAACTTTACATGAACAGCTAGAGGAATTTCGTCTGGGGAGAGGTAGACCCATCTCAGAGAGGGATGTTGTGAAGGTAAGTAGTAGATTGAACGATTAAGGTATTTTTCTCATATCTAGCCACTAAAAAAATGTGCTCATTTGAGTTGCTGGTGTTTAGATATTAGATGAAAGTTGATATTCTTAAAGAAAATTAGAGTATGTATACGATTTTGTTTTTCTCTTATCCAGCTGATCTGAAATTATAGTGACGTAGAAACGAACGTCACTGCAAAACTGAGGCATTGAGCCTGTGAAAAATGACCAGCAAAAAATAAAAACATGTCAACCATTGCAATAAAAATATATATACCTCGTTAATTATTGCATCACTGTTATCAAACACTAATTATTAGCAAAGTTATTTCCTCTTCGTTTGGTGGCCTGGATATCCATAATTATTATTAATTTGAAGAGAAAAAGTGACAGCTCTGTTTTGGAAATTTTCTCCATTCTGATTAACTAATAATTATGTTTTATCAAATCACCTGAATTTGACATGCCTATATAAGTCAACTAGTACAAAAAGTTATCAAATATGGATATGGAACACTACTTGTGTTATGATACAGTGATACAGTCAGTTTTACAATATGCATACTGTAAAACACTTCTTGAGCCAATCTATTGGAAATAAGATTTATTTTGATCACTTAATGCTTATTTTTAGAGGGTTTGAAACAGTAAAAAGTCCAGGAAATAATAACCTGAAATGGTTTGGGTGTCCTCACTGTAATCTTTTTTTTTTTTTTTAAAAAAAAAGGAACTTAATGATTGGTTTTCAAACTGATGTATTAATTCTATTCCTATTGTAGCTTGAAGGAAAAATTAAGAAAGCAAAAGAAGCATCTTCCAAGACTGGTAAATTATTTTGTTTGATCATAAAAGTACAAAAGAAAAAAGATTTTTCCTGAATTTGCTTCATAAGTGATGGCTTCAATTAGAGCTTGGAATTGATTTGTTTATACATTTATGGTATTTTATCAAGTCCAACCTTAACTTGGAGCTATTGTTTCATTACTTACTAAAAGCAAATTCAGGTCACTCAAGCAAATTTGGGAATGTTCTTTTAAGGAGTTTAAATCACCTCTTGAAATGCCTTAAGACATTTCTTACTATCAATATTTAAAAAAAATCATATTCACTAATATGGTCATTTTCCATCTGTGGATAGATAAAGAGTATAGAGATATCTATAAGAAAACAGAGAGGACCAGGCTAGAGTGGGAAGCAAGTATGAGTAAATGTTGCCAGGTGTGTTGTGACATCAATGACTATACTTTATAATACTCAAAAAAAACTCCAACATTTATTCATACCCTGAAACAACATCTGGACTGATCAAAGTCAGGGCATGTTTAAGCCACAGATCAAATTGGAATTTAGCATACATGTACATGTTTCTTGGAGGGAGGAAAACCACAGAAGCTGGAGAAACCCCTTGAATCAAGGGAGAGACCTAACAAACTCTATTCACGTGATGCTGGATGTGGGAAACAAACCAAAATATCCACTTTACACCACTGCTACACCACCCTTGATTCCTACGCTGCTCTAAGTCCTGTTTTTTTTTAATGCAGTTTTTTTGTTGTTGTTGCTTAATCTGTCTCAACAGACTTGTCAAAAATTAGAGGAAGAAAGAATTGATCATCTTAAAGAAATTTTCTGTTTGTATTCAAACATGCTCGCTGCAGTTACACCACAGCTCCATCAGGTATTGAAAGAGTATCAGTTTTAAATTTGTCAAAAAAGAAAGCATTTATTGTAGTAATAGATTTTTTGTTACAATGTTTTGCAGCAGTAAGTGGATTTTGCAAAACTTATATCAGCTACCTGATATAGACCCATTCAGTTTGAATGTGCCACCATTTTCCCATTTCAAACAATTTTTCACTCCTTTAGGAATGGGATGCTTTGTTCATTGCCTATCTATGTTGTATTTTCTCTATTGTTATGGGACAAAATTTAGAAAAATGCTCATGGGAATGACATGTGCCATGAATTGTAAAAAGAATGGCACCTAGATTCTTAATAGAGTGTATTATAATAGATTTACTTTCTCATCAAGATTTATGAAAACATTCAACAAGAATCATCGAAAATTCAACCAGTAGAAGATGTAATATTGATGGCAGATACAAAGGGAACGCCCAGGGAACCAGCAGAACAGATACTTTATGACTGCTTCGTAAGTTCCTCTGTATATTTTTTTATGATGTTTAGAAAAGAAATGCAAGCCATTAATTAAGAGTAATTCCAAAGATGAGGTAGCCTAGCCTAGCCTAATTTTTTCCATCCATTTCATTTTTCCACATGGCTATCATCAAAATAGCATATTAAATATTCTTAAAATTTAAAAAGTTTAAAAACTAAAAAAATAAAGCTTACATGTAAGTTAACAGAGTTTTTTTTAATTCAGGAGGAGGACTTAGAAAATAACATGAACTTTGATAGAAGAAAAGAAATATTGGAAAACAAAATAAGAGTCATGACAGCAGAACTGGAAAAAGAAAAGAATGCTAAAGAAGGTAATGGTACAGGGGTGGATCTAGGGGGTGGATCTATCTACCTCCCCCCCACAGATAAGATATCTACTGTATTGTTGGTGCTTGGGTTTGTGAGGGCCCTGATAATAAACGTGCACCCTGTCTTAAAAAGTTTCCTGTGTTTTTCAGTGAGTATCATTTCTTTGTTTGATGGTTGTGCATGAGAAGAATCATGAAATCAACATGGATTGTGGCTCAAATAAAGAATATTATTCTCAAGAGAATGAAATGACTTAAACAAATTATTAATAAGGTCTATTTTCACCCATCTCCCCATGTCTTCAAATGATTTATAAATATACCTAATTATAACTTAATACATGTTACATTCAGGAATCAAGACCCTATTGGAAACCTATACTGATAATCCTGAATATACTCATCAAGAGGGGCAACAAGATGTTGCTACACAATGGAAGCATGTAAGCCAATATAGACATCTATTTTAATGACTGTGAAAAGATGAAAAAACTTACTGACGTTTTGGATGTTAGTCCTTCGTCGGAGTAAATCTTTTACTCCGACGAAGGACTAGCGTCCGAAATGTCAGTACGTTTTTTCATCTTTTCACGGTGACGTATAATTTACCTTTTCATCATTACTGTTTCATTAGAAACACCGACGCAGCTCACACTAGTTTTTAGCTAGTTATATCTTCTTATTTTAATGACTGTTATTTTAGAGAAGGTAAAAACCTATTAACCACAAAGAGTGAATTAGAATTGTAGATTTTATACGAAGGAAGGAAGAGGACCCCGTAAAAAACTCTYGTAGCATAGGAGAGCACAACACATTGAACAAACTCAACTTGTATACTAGGCTCCGCACCTGGGACTTGAACCAAAGACCTCTTGCACCAACTTAGTATAGATGGTTTTAGCACTTAACAAGAGTACCAAAGAGTTAAAGAGGGAAAGTCAGCTGTACTTTTGAAATGGGATAAACGTAGAGAGTGAATGAAAGAAATAGCTAAAAAAAGGAATCTTAGCATATCAAGTACTTTCAACTTTTGAAATGGGATAAACGTAGAGAGTGAATGAAAGAAATAGCTAAAAGAAAGGAATCTTAGCATATCAAATTGTAGCTAAAAAAAGCTTGAACAAGTCTCTGGCCCAGGAGATTGAGCAATTTATTACTCCCTGATTTTTGACAAAATGTTAAAAAATAATTAAATTAGAAAATTTAGAGAGGTGGTGAAGACATGTTTCAAAAGGATAGAAAGTATCATTAGTTTGGATCTTATGAATGATTTAAACTGCTACTATAATCATCATTTTTTCTAGGCTACTGCTGTGATTGATAGTTTACAAGCCAGTCTGTTTAAGCTACAGTGTGCACTAGCAAATGTCTGTGGCCATGACAAACCTACCCATCAACTGATGGATTATATCACTACAACAAGAGACAAGCAGGTAAATATCACATATCAAATTGACTGTCAGGACAATTTCCAACAAAGTATTTAAACAATGGAATTAGGGTCTCTTAATATGTATTAATCTAATAATCTATTTTTTTGTGTTGTCTCTTGTAGGGAGTTGTACAAAGTGTACTACGGATTCCTTTGGATAGAGTTGCTGGTCATTCCCATGATCCATTGTATGATCCACATGATACCCACATAACAGGTACTATATATGACTTCTGAAATCATCTTGTTTACTATAGGCATGTATGCCAATAGTAGGATCTTATAGGACAAAGAGGGTCTAAATCCCAGTTTTAGTTTTATTTTGAAGTAGGTTTGCTGGTTGTAAACAAATAAAAAAAAACAAGCTATTCAAAACAACTTTTTTTTCACAATGGAAAAAATTCCCATTTTCCTTTTAGTTATTCTATTTCTTGTTTCCAATTTTTATTCCCCATGCAAATAAGAGCACCTCTGACAGTTCCTGTCTTACCCCTTTATCGATGACCCTCTAATGACTTTGCTTCATTGACTGCAGATGATGAATTTGATGATGAATTTGCAGCAGAGACTGGTATGTACTGATTATTATTTATGTGAATATTCTTTATTAGCTTCACCTAGTTTGTATCTTTTATCTTTGAATGCAGGCATAACGTTTTGCAACAATTTTACATTGAATTGACTGTACACTTGTATAACTTTAAAAACAGGCCTACTCTCTCCCCAGCCCCTCCAGGGTCCTTTATCACATAGAAATCCTAAGCAGTAAAAGATAGATTTATAAATGAAATGTGTTTTTCCCCCAGTTCTGTGTCAATGTAGAGTTCTGTATGAATTCATTGGTGAACAAAGTGATCAGCTGACCATTAGACCTGGAGAAATTATTAACGTTACAGAAAAGATGAATGATGGCTGGTGGAGAGGAGAAGTCCATGACATGAAAGGCTTCTTTCCTGAATCTTATGTGGAACAAATTTAATAGCAACCTATTTATATGGTACCAAATATACCAAAAAAATAAAACATAGGTCTTACATAATTATCAATTTCAAGTTTGTACACAATGAAAGACCCAATGAAATTGACTATTTTGAAATTTGATGAAGAAAAAACAATTGTATTGAAGTTTACTCTAGAAAAAATTAACCTAAACAACTGTCAGATATAATTCCTACTAGAATATGGTCAGGAACCTAATAGTTGATGTTGGGGCTTAACCACTAAGAGGACAAAAATCAATTTCAACTCTCTTTAAAGTAGCGTTGTGGCAGAAACAATATCAAGCTTTTAAAAAACACATGTAGTACCAAAGCATATAGCCATAACATGGTCATTGAATGGTCATTATTCAGTGATTGTTCAAGGGCTGTTGAATAGGCAAGACAACCAGACATATTTAGAAAAGTTTCAGGGAAATTGTAGAAAGTCCTGTATTTTTGAATTGTCATTGGGAATCACCAGATTCCCAGATGTTAGAGTTGTGCAATAATATTATTATAAAAGCATCTGGGGATAGAAAGCATACATACTTACAATAAAAAAGTTAAAACAGGCAACACATCCACTTTTTGTGTCTTTTTTGAATACCAGTGTGCAGTAATCTATAGCTGCAAGACATGCATTCCAACGGATGTTTTAACATTCTAGTGATTTCCATAGTAAATTGGTTTTGATAGGTGCAAGTAATTAGATTTTAAGTTAAGAGCCATGAAAATATTGTAAAAAAATTAGGTTTAAAATAATGTGCTTGGAAAATAATTATTGTTAGTAACGTGGTTACAGATGAAAAATATTTTAATGAGTTATAACATTAATGTCAATGAAAATTTACATAAAGGTTAAGATGCTAGACCAAGGGTCGCAGGCCTGAGGTCTTGAATTTCAATGCTAAGCCGAGCGCCTGCGTTTTAACTGGTTTAAAAACCAACCAATCCAATTTCAATGGAAAACCTGTCCCTGGTTTTGAATTCAGCCCTGCTCTCCCTTGTTAATGTCACCCTTGTTAATATATAAAGTCGCCCCCAACTTTGGACAAAGGTTAAATTTAGGTTTTCCATCGAAATTCAAAGCCCACATCAAACAATAAAGATAGGGGGTGGTCATTAAATAAAGTCTTTGCTGTAAAAGAATGTATTTTAGCATTTAACAGTATTTTCCCTTCCAGGTGAAGTACTTTTTTTTCTTAGTTTACTTTAGATAAATTATGTAATAAAGGAGAAGGAACACAGTCAAGTCAATCTGTTTTGAATTATGTGCTCTCACTGATAGAAATTATACAAGAAATAAAATCTTTCAGAAATTAAAATCAATGGTGATTAATCTTTAGTTTAGCTTGGTCTGCCTGTACACTATTTCACCCACTTTCTCTAATAGCATAAAATACTAAAAAATCTAGCTATAGTTTTTGCTAAGTATTATGTACAAATTACCTGACGCTATGTAAAAGATTTTCTCTCCAGCCTTCTGCTTTAGAGCGTTCCCTTGAACTTCTTTCTCATACTTATAACAAATTTGGAAAAGTTGTCAGTCTTGTTGAGTTCTTGGACCATGGACTCCAGATCTTCAACCTCTGGTACACAGTCTTTAACTAATAATCGAAAGGTCACAAACTACCATCAGACATTAAATTGTATTGAGATTATAAATACGGGATACCTCTCACAAGTTTATATGATCATACATTTTCTTCTGCAGATACCACAGGTAAGTTGAAACCACAGGGACTCCAATTTGAATAAAAATAAAAGTAGAAAATATACTAGCATCTGTATGACAACTTTGAATATCAACTTCTTTTTCAGATAAAACAAATTTATCTACAGCATGACATTACATTAAAAAAAACCCCCTATCATAGCTAGTTTCTCACCTGAATATTGCTTATCACTGCTGACTGAGACGGTAAAGAAGAATGCCTTTTCCCAGTCATTTGGATCAATACACTTGAACACAAACTGGAGATGGTCCTCTGTGTAAAAAAAATGACACAAAAATAGAAATCTTTCAATAGAGCATGATAAAAATACATGGTTCCAGTTTTATGCTTATTGGGGACTAAGCCCTTAATGATTCAGAATCACAGCAAGAAAACTACATTGTTACAAGTGGCAATTAATGCCTTAGTCCCTCTCCAAATCAAAACTTTGCTTCTGATAATTATAATACCAGAGAGATTAATCTGTGGACCTCATACTCACCATCAATCTTCTTGAAAGTCAAAGCAAGCCTGTCTTCAAAATACTCAGTGCCTTTAATGAACTGTTTTAGCTTAAAATTTGTGGCATCTTCTATAGCACTTATTTCTGCAGATAGGAAAAATAGTATATATGTATGTAAGAGCATGAAGAGAAGTATTAGAAAAGGATACTTTTGATGTGATTGAGTAACTATGTTTAAAGTATAGTAAGACTAAATTCAGGCATACTCCATCAATGGTAAGCTGTGTGTACAAAATGACTTCTTTTCATCAGAACATCGTGTGTGAAGTTCAGGTAATGATAAGGATGATGTCCTTCAAGATAATCACATGTGGATGAATAACAAGGTTATGCTGTTATCCTGAAATCATGTGAGACAAGTCAGAGTGCAGCAGAAAATAAATAAACCTTTAAGATTTCCACACACCCCAGGGATTTCATTAGAAACTGACATTTGGTGAACTCTGATGTCTACTTTCCAAGCCACCTACTTTGGCCATTCCACATCCCAATAATATTGTCCTGGTAATAAAGGTTTTCAGCTGCCTATTTACAATAATAGACCTATCCCAAATTCGCTCGACTGGCCATGAAACAATGGTTTAAAGTCGAGGTTGAACTTGATGAATAAAAGAATCAAGTTCAGTCTCGACTTCAAACCATTGTTTCGTGGTCAGTCAAGCGAATTCTGGATAGGTCTATTAAAACATGTTTGCATGCCTTAAACTTGAAATCTAATGAAATCCCTGAAACCCCTAAATAGTTTTTAAAATAATGGCCAGTCAACAGACAATGTTCAACAAATATTTGCACTTGTCAAGCCAAACACCTCTTATGCCAGTCCTTTTGACTGGTCACATTGATGTCCCCGGTCAGCATGTCCGACCACTGAGCAGCCATTATTTTTAGACCTGTTTTTGGACCATCACCTTCCCTGATGGGTCCATATTCACCTTGCTTTTCCTTTGCTAGATGCTCTTCTTTTTCATTCAAAATCTTATCTTCTTGTTCCTTCTTTTCCAATAGAGTGGTTGCACAAATCTGTAGCTCTCGAAGTTCTTTTTCCAGAGAAGCTACCTCTTCAGCCTGCTGCTGTAAAACTTTTGCAAACCAGAAACAAAATAAAAGGATTTTAGATATCTTTCAAGTAAGTTGGAACTTCAAACTCAACTGAAATATCATCAATATCTTAAGACTGGCTTCCCATTTTTTATCCCATCCACTTTCCCATTTCCCATATTTACAACAAATGAATGAGTTAATTCTTGGTATACTATACAATTACACTTTCATAAAACAAGGGGACTCTAAATCTGGTTTTTCCCTCTTTCCTTGCCCCTATGACCAACGTTTTGCCTACAGCTAGTACGCGTTTGATTCGAGACGTTACTAACTCGATTTGCATTCATCAATAACTATTAAAAGAAACAAATTTACCATTCACGCAACAATTCCACTGATAAATAAAAAACAAGATGCATATATATGTATATCAGCTTAGTAAATTATAAGGTAAGTTATACGTAAGTTATACGTAAGTTAGTTATACGGTACAGGTTCACTACTAACTTTCCAGCTTCTTGTTCGAGTCTTCGTTGTACTTCTTTAATTCTTCTTCGAGGTGAGCAATGGTTTCTATTAATTTTCAAACAACAGAAGCTCTTTAGCTTTAAATAAATTCAATATCTAATACAAGCCAATGCTCCAAAAATACCATACATAAAGAAATAAAGAACTTCAACAAGAAAACATATTTGTCAACGGTCGAGCCAGAGACCAAGAAAGTACCTTTTCCTGACCCTAACATTTCCTTATGTTTCTCCGCTTTCTTATCAAGTTCTGTCTCAAAATGTCCTTTCCATTCACCAATGAATTTATCTTGGACCTGTTTAAGGCTAACTTCCAGCTTTTGCAGTTCTTCTTCAGCCATTTTTCTGGTATTTTTATTAACAAACCATGCATAAAAGAACGACTTTTTGGGCTTCGTTTTCCGCGCCGGGACAAACATCGACCAATCAGCGATTAGATGAATAAATTAGACCAGCGGTGTAATGTATAGAAACATGCGCACATCCGAAAACAAAATGGCGGACGGAATGAAGATATTACTTTCGTTTTCTCTAAAAATATCATTGTTTTGAGGCCTTGATTTTCAAAATAAGGTCTAATTAAGGAGGTTTTGGGCTATAATATCATAGGGAATTTAAAGAATCAATCATTTTAGGGGATTAAAGATTAACTTGTCTCTTCAGTGGCCCAAAAATGAAGCCGCAAGTTCTTTGGTCACCACATTCTCCAGACAGGTTCATCACGTTTGGCAAGGATATACGTCTGTACAAGTCTGTAACTAGTCAGGTACGACAATCATCTCTTCTACTAGAAGGACTCACAATACCGAAAAACGTTTATTCTGATATGCGATCCTTTTAATCTCAAAACGTGTAGTCTTTGAAGTTAGGATAAACACACGTAACAAATAGGGGGAGGTGTGTCGTGACTGACAAGAAATTCCTGGAATAAAATAAGAAATTTAGTGTGAGATGACATAAGAGTACACTATCGTTTTACTGACCTAGGACATTAGTTATTGGATGGAAATATTCAAATGTATTTTCCTGGACACTCGGTACCGTACCATTTCTCCTTCCCCTTCTCAGACTTCCTCTTTTATTGAGCTGTTTTTGCTAGTGTGATTCTTATTCTTACCCACCATTGTTGTTTTTTGTACTTAGATTGTATATTTATTCATTTATTTGTTCATTTTTTTTTCTAACAGGAGAATTCTCGTGGACAAGGTACATATTGTGTAGTTCCAAAAATTATCCATACCGCCCTCACGGAGGAATTCTTCAAGATACCCCCCTACCCCCCCCCCCTCCCCGGAAATTTCATTTTTCTTCCATACGAACTATGTAATTTTTGTTCTTTCTCTGACCCCCCTACTTTTCAGAAATTCCAAATTCCTCTGTGGGGTGGGTATGGATGATTTTTGGAACTACACATTTCATGCAAAATGCATATCTTTGATTTTATCTTTGATTTTAAGAAAACTAATATTGAAATCATTCAGATATCTTATTAATATACAATTTTTTATATTGTTATTAGTACTACAGCTATCAGATAAAAGCCATGCTTTGCTGTCATCTGTCATTAATGATGACCAGCTACTCAAGGTATGAAGAGTCAATTAGATCTCTTATTACCCTCTCCATAGATCTAATTTCTATTAATCTTATTTCTTAGTGTATTGCTTGGTATCCACACACTGAGCCTGACGACTTGCTTGCTATTGGTCAGTCAAATGGTAGAGTCATAGTTACAAGGTCAGTGTACTTTATTTCTATCTGTTTCTTAGCAATTAAAAAACATGAAGTTAATAAAAAAGTAACATTTTATCATTGGTTTCTTTTATAGTTTCGCTAATGAAAACATTCAATCTGATTGTGGGTTAAGAAGAGAATTCGGTAAGAAATAAATTTCAGACCTTATTGATTATTTATTAGAATTCACTGTCAGTGAGTACTGGTTGTGCCTGAGAACATGCCTTTCTACAAAGGTAACCATGGCAACTGGACCACAGCCACCTGGCACCCCTCACATTGACTGCGCACTGACCAAGCTAGTGGAAAATTGTCACCTCCTACCATAGTATGTTCTGAATCTTGAGGAAGTGGGAGTGTAAAAAATAAAATAAAATAAAAAACTGCCAAACCTGAAAATGAAGCCTTTAGTAACATCTGTGACACATATAGCAGACAGAATTGTAGGAAACCTTTGAACTGCCTAGATTCAGAACTTCGCCTAAATTTCATTCATTAACATTTTGATGGGATCCCTGTGGAATCTTCACCAAAGGGTACCCAGCAATCAGTACTATTTCCCAATGCTTATTCAGTGTATTTTTTTGTAGTGCCAAGGCATCCCAGACAATGTAATAGTCTTGCATGGAATCCAGTAGCAAGCAACCTGGTAATATTATAATTTTGAGCAGAGCAAGGGGGAAAACTATTATACTATATACTTTCATTCATTTCCTTTCCATTTTTAGCTTGCAGCTGGTCTAGATAAAGTGAGAAATGACGTATCTCTGATGGTGTGGGATATAAATGTACAACTTAGTAAGTAGTAAGATATAATGCAACACCATCGTTCATGAATTTTAAATGAAAGTCAGTACTGTACTAATGGTAAAGTATCAATTATTGGGGTTAATGCATTAAGAGTGCAAACGTGGTATATCTCAAATAATCGATCAATATGATGTAGAATATGATCAAAATATATTAACAGGAAGTTCTCATCTTAATTCTTCAGCTGTTAGGGACATATCAGGACAAGAAAAACCAAGGTAACATTAATCATTATTGTAATAGTGGAGCTCCTTGGGCTGCAGCCTAGTGAAAGCGGATTTCAGTACCTTATAATATAAGAATATTAATCAATACAATTCCACCATTCATTGATCTTTGTCTGTTATAACAGTCGACATTCAACAGTACAAAGTGGCAAACAGTCACCAATCATGGGACCTGGTATATCTGAATCTACTACTATAGGAAACAGACCCCTTGCTGAACTAGGTATGGTCAACAAACAAACATCAATTTCAGTCACTCTTTTCTGATCTGATTCAGAGCTTGGATACAGGATACGCAAAGATACAGGGCTTTCAGAATAAGCCAGCATCCACCAGAGCTTCTGCAGTTGCTTTGAAATTAACTACCAGCTGCTTTTTCTTTTCTTTAAAATATCTTCAGTTCCTTGTATAGGATAGGCCGGATCATAGCCAGCTACTTCATACTTGTAACTACCTACTCTAAAACATTCTGAAAGCCCTGAGATGTATGTCGTGCTGAGTTTTGTGAAAGGGAAGAAAACTGTAGAATCCAAAGAAGAACCCTGGAAAGAGAGAAAGACCCAACAAATCTTCCTTACGTTTAAATGGCATTGTCATGATTTTTCTTTTCTCTTGTCAACAGCCACTTCAGAGCCAACCCTTTCCTTGGCTTGGTTTCCTCGTGAGCATAATTGCTTGATTGCCGGACAAGCACAAAAGTATCTACGAGTATTTGATCTCAGAGGTAAGAAAACCTAGTGCTTTGTTTAGATTCTAGTGAAATAATGATTTCTCATCATAACTAAGTCCTTTGTTTAGTGCTCTGTTTTGCAGGCTGCATGCCACATGCTTTATAGAATAATATGGCACAGTTATCAACCAATCAGAATGTGTGTAACAATATGACAATTATATAATAAGTAGTTATAACACCGATATTTTTTGTTAATTTATTAGACACAAGCAAACCCCACAGTGCTGCTGTTACAAAGGCTGTCTATGGAGTTTCAGTTGATCCACACATTGAACACAGAGTTGCTTCTTTCTCAGAGGTTGGTTTGAGTAGGTCTTTCTCTTTTTTCTATTGAAATAATAGGAAAAGTTCATGAACTGCTGGAGAGTCTTAAGGACTAAGTGAACATTTTACGAATTGGCGGTTTAATGGCAGTTTGAGAGGCAGAAGAATTTTGCTCACTTACCAAAGCATTCTCTAATCCCTGACTGTTATAATAATCAAAACCCTGATCAATAGACCTTATTTACCTTGTTTTTTGGTGTTTTCCCCCCCATTTTACACCACATGTCATTCCCTAGAGTACAATTTTTTGTTTAACAACAGTTGTATATGAGGAGACACATGCCTATGGATACAACTCTAAACAGAAGAATATTATTATCAAGAGAATGAAATGTGATCTAAAATGAGAAAACAATACAATCAAATGAATAAACCCTTTGTTAGAACATGCAATGCAGCAAAAAGGTATTTATTTTTTATTTTCTCTTCCACTGTTTGTAGGGTCCTCCAGGAATAGTCTGTATTTGGGACATCAGAAATTTTGAAAAACCAATATCCTTTTTGGAGGAATGTTTATGTTGAGGCTCAAGGCTTTTTTTTTCTGGCCTTCAGTTATTTTCACTTCTTCTCCAACCCAATCTTTGTTATTTTAAGCTAACTAGAGCAGTATTGATGGGACAGAGGCAGCTTCATGTGCTTTTGGTTTATGAGCTACACCATTTACTTTTGGTGTACATGATTGATAGTATGTTGTAGATAGTTYGTGAGACAGTGGAACCCTGTGAGTGACAATCCTTAACTGATGATCACTTGATGACCCTAGCACAGCCTAGTAATATCATAACTAACCTTGCCTGGAGTCCCACAAGGTTTGGACTGCTCTCTACCATTGCGAGGGATAGTTCTGTAGTACAGCTGTATGATATTCAACATGCACAGTTAGGTATGTTTGATCAAGATTCCGTGTACTCTTACTACGGTTATCTGTGTTATTAGTGTTATCTGTTGCTCAAGGCTAATCTCAATATTTTGTTTTTATTCAATTTGTCTCTAATCATCTGTTCCAGTGAAGGACAAAGGAATTAGGAATTGTTTGCATTGTTGTCTATTCTTATATTCTTATATTCTTTTAGTATGATTTTAGACTTGAATATATACAGTTTCTCTCACAGTAATTATTGGTTTAGTGGCCAGTGATTCTGAGACCACAATTACTTCGCCTTTGGCGATTGATTGTTAAATGATTATATACAGATGTCATCTCAAGCCTCACGGTGATGCAATAAAATATTGGGCTCATTAAGATATCATTTGTTTCTGTGCATCCAAATGGCGCTTAAGGTGACATTTATTATGCAAATGCATATCTATGTTCTCATTGAATTCTAGGTTCATCAGCATATAACAGCTATGAGTTGGATGCCTCAGTGATTGAAAGAAGTGCAAAGTGTAGGTCCAAAAACATATTAGAAACCATTCATTTTTTGGATAGGAGGAGAGGTGCATTAATTAAGTTTACCAATAAAGTCTTCATGTGCAGTGGAATCTCTATGGCCATAGAAACGGAAATATCTAATTCCTCTCTTCCTACTTTTATAAAAAGTACCTTCCCCTTGTTTATATTTGATTCCCCTCTCATAAATAGGCTTTCTAATGACTGTCCCCCTGCACCTTTGACCAGTGCACTCACCTCCCCCCATAACAAATTGAGCACTTGTAACTTTGTTGTTAAGAGACTGCCAAGTGTGTCCTACATATTTATTTTAGTCTTGATGCTTTTTCCTGTAGCTTCCAAGACTGACATTTCATCTTTTTCATGGCATCCAACACATGAGAATAGAATGCTGACTATATCATCTAATGGTAACATGATTTAATGCTTTATGATAAACGATTTACCAAGTATATTCATTTACCTTTTGCCTCAAATATTTTAATATGGTTTGGGAAAACTTTAAGTAATAATTGAACCTGAAACTTGCATCCTAAAAGTACTGTATATTGATCACAAAATATTTTTATTCATTAGGTTCTCTTTCAGACTTCACTATTTTTGAGAGGATTTCAGTGGTAAGAAAACTTATTGAACATTATTTTGCAATGGCCATTGTGACATGGGGATCTGGGAATTTACATGAGACTGCTTATGATTTTAAAATGTTATTATTTACTTTAATAATTTGAATTGTGGTAAAAATGACCCTAGGGCAGCAAGTATATTTTTTGTTCAAACAGCAATCAACAACCCATCAAAAGTAAGCTTTGAATCAGACCGACTGTTCCCTACTACAGCTGTAGTAGAGTTTATCTCATTGGCGATTCTTGGCAGAGAAAGAACTTCCAAGGAGGGAGACTCTGCTGGCAGGGAAGACCGACTGACAACCAATAGTAACATTGTACTAAAACACAAAGAACTGTTGACTTAACCAACTGTTAGCTGTTATATAATTACTGATCTTATCAAAATCCATTGTTTTCAGTCTGCATTATCCCAACGAATGCATAGAGGAAAATCAGACATATTTAGTTCAATTCATTATTGGCTTTGTTTCTATAATAAACAAGCTAGAAAGAAAACAATTGGATTTTGATAAGAACAATAATTATACTAGATAATCACTTCGGCACGCAGCGTGCCTCAGTAATTATCTATTAAATATCACTGTTATTTTGATAGAATGTTTCTCTTGAATTCATTTTGAAAGGCATGGTCTCCTAGTTCTCAACTCACTTTTGGCTGTGGAAAACACTTACTTGACTGCACTCAGGATGTAAGTCAAAAAAGAAGTTACAGTAGATGTTTCCCAATGTTCTAACTCCCATGTACTATTTTTGCTCATTCTGCTGTTGTTTCCACCACTTTACTGTCTCATCTCCCTTTATTTTTAACAAAGCTATTTTCCAAATCATTTTCCAAATCATTTTAGCCACCAGAACCTCTATCAGATGAGGAAGACATCTCTTTCCTGATGAAAAAGAGAGCCATTGCAGGATATGGAGTAGATTTAATACAGGTTACAGTTTTTCTTTATTTTTATTTTTATTTTTTTGTCACATGCTGCTTCTTCTCCTCCAATAAAATATGACCAACAAGTACATATTAATGCGTGGCTTTGTATTTCAGCTTGACGAAATCTCCAATGTCATTCAAGATCCCAAAGTTCTGAAGCTTTGGAGCTGGTATCACCGTATCCTATAAACTTTGCCTTTTTTTAGTAGACCTACATGCTTAATTATTTTCCTGCCTTACATAACCTGTGTAGCAGGCAGTGGGTGACTAGAAGGGGAAGGAGAAAGGCCCTATGCTGCCTGCTATGTAAGCTGGGTTTAGATTAGTATCTTTTAGGTCATTTTTAGGACTAACAATACAGATGATTATGGAAAATGTCTGACCAAACTTGGCCAAGCCAATACCTTTAAGCCAATACCTTTAAGCCAATACCTTTAAGCCAATACCTTTAAGCCAATACCTTTAAGCCAATACCTTTAAGCNAAGCCAATACCTTTAAGCCAATACCTTTAAGCCAATACCTTTAAGCCAATACCTTTAAGCCAATACCTTTAAGCCAATACCTTTAAGCTGATACCTTTAAGCCAATACCTTTAGGCTGGTCAGCTTGACAGGTCACATTGACTGTTCACATGTTGATTAGTCTGCTGTGAGTGGTCATCATGTCCAGTAATCATGTCTACCATTATTTTTATGGCTGATTTCCATTTTCTACCATTATTTTTATGGCTGATTCCTATTTATTTCCAATTTATTTTATTTTTAATTTTTTCATTCTTTAAATTCCATCTCTTTATTCATAAACATTTAAGTCTATATTCATGTCTTTTTATGGAAGTATAATTCTTAACGCCTCTCTAGAAGTTGAAAGACTAAGAAACCAAGGTAATACTATGTAACTACCTTCGAATTCCTTAGTCATATAGAGGAAGATAAAAATGTAAAACTAAGAGCTCAGTAGGGATGGTGCAGGGAGACTAGTCTACTGTCAAACTTCTTCATGTCAATCTCACCATTAGAGACTTCACAGAAGTATGATTAATTATAAAAACATCAGATTTGTTTTCTTGGTGCTTAAATTGTTCTGGATATTCAACAGGAAAGAGGAAGGGTTTTAATTTCTATGGTATCAAGACAGTGATTTCAGGAGAAACAAGTCAAGGAGGTATAATCAAAACTGTTCTAGTCATTTAAGATTTAGTTTTAATTCTCACCTATCGTAATACATGTAAACTTTGCATTTTAGCAAGAAAATAATCCATGGTTCCATCTCAGACAATAGTAAATCACAGTGGAATTCAAATTATAATCAATTTTCCATGATCGGAGTTTTAAATTCTGGGATATTCTAGCTAATTTGTTGAGCTTGTTGAACTTGTTGGGCATAGCAATGGTAACTAAGGGAAGTCTGAACCATGAATTTCATATAATGCACCTGTGAGGGGAGGGGAGGGATTATTTTTTTAGGTTCATGGGGAGTGAACCCCACCCTATTGGGAAATCCTAGATATGCCCTTCTGCTTTTCATAAAATACTTATTAATTAAACAACATCATACCTAATTTCTAATATGACTATTTTATCTGGACTGTAGGGGTATGCTCTAAGAGCAAGATTGAACAGTCCTATCAGGAACAACGGCTCAGAGCAAAAGTATACTGCAGTGAAGAGAGGTGGGTTGTACATAATATGTTGTCATTTGACTCATTTCATTGGTAGCTTTGTTCCCTTTGCTGCTAAAACAATTGTCAAAAACTGTACCAAGTACATAATAATTAATATCTTGTGATGTTCTGGCTATTCCTTATAACTACTTGAACAAAGAGGTTTGTCAGGTTTAATTTTCTCCTTACTTTCCTTCTCCCTCCCTTCCTTCCTCCCTTCCTCCCTTCCTCCCTTCCTCCCTTCCTCCCTCCCTCCCTTTCTCCCTTTCTCCCCTCCTCCCTCCCACTCCAATCTATCATTACAACCCAAGCTAGTCCAGAAGAGTTCCAATGTCTACCATGGTATAAGCAACCCAGTAAAAATCCTAAAACTTTTTCTGCTTGGCGCTTTAGGCAAACTGCCCTATCCCTTTGTGGCTGGGACTTTGGCGAAGTTAATGGAACCCTGGCTGACTTTTTAAAACAGTAAGTATTGATATTTTAACCAAGAGAATATATTTTATCTAATGATAAATATGGGGAGCTCAAGCTTTTGTGCCTCTATGTAAGTATAAAAGACTATAAACTATTTTGGTTTATTGTTTTTACCAGGCTTCAAATGAAGGGCATGTATGAGAGAGCAGCAACAATAGCATTATTTAACAATGACATTCGACAAGCCATTGATATCTTGAGTGCAGCTTCAAAAGCTGCAACCACTAATCCAAACCATAACTCAAAAGGTAATTCGATGTTCTTTTATTACTTTTCTTCTTTCTTTTTTTCCCTTCCATTCTCTCTCCCTTTCTCTCTCCCCTCTTTATTCCTCCCCTTCTTTCATTCCCTCCTTCCTTTTCCCTCTCTTCCTCTTTACTTCCTGCCTTTCTTTCCCCCTTCCGTCATAACTTCCCTCCTTCCTTCACTCTTTCCTACTTCAGTTTCCTTTCCATCCTTACTTCCTTCCGTCATTCCAACTGTGTGGTATCACCTGTCAATGTTAGTTCCAGGGATGGTGTTTAACATGGTTGCCATGGCACTGTCAGGATACACAGTTGAAAAAGAGGCTTTATGGAGGCAGATGTGTAGGAAACTATGCAGTGAGGTTAGCTGTTTATTTATTTGCAAAACCAATTATTTTAGAAATGCACATAAAGACATACAAGATAAAAGTCTTTGAATTTCATTATCTGCTCCAAATGGTTGTCAGAGAATAACAACCATGAGCTGTCAGCCAGAAAGAATTCTATTACAAAATTGTGGTTCAGCTGATAACATTCCGCATAAGACAATAAATAATGACAAGTGAACTCATACAATATTGATATATTTTATAAACATACCAAAATAAGCAAGTTAGATCATAGTTATCTTTTGTTATGAAAATAATATATGATTTGTTCTAGATTGAAAGTCCTTATCTTAGAGCTGCATTTACATTCTTAACAACAGAAGATGGAAATTTTGACAACATATTGGTGAGTGTGACTGCATTGGTATAAAATATACCATGCAAGAAATAGGAAGCATTTCGTATTTATTTTTATCTATTATCTGAAAATAGTCATAATAAGCAGTACTGTTAATACATTTCGTCATCTCCCTTCTATCATCGTGGTGTAGTTTGCATAGCAGTGCTTTGGGGGCTTTGGGGAGAACAGAGCTGTGCTCAATAAGTTGTCTTTTCCCTGCTGTTTGTTAGTTTTTTCCTTTGTCTCTGACTTCTCTTGCTTTCCTCAAACCATAAAAATCAACTGCATGTACCTAATATTTCACTTTTTCTTTGAAAAGAATGAATCCAGGATAGAAGTTGAAGACAGGGTTGCCTTTGCATGTAAATTCCTCCCAGATAACAAGGTAATTCTAGACAAAATTAAATGGCCAGCTCGATAACAGGATTCAATAACATTTAAATATGGCTATGTTGTACATAATGGTATTTTATTGTGTTGTTACAGCTGGCAAGCTACATCAATAATTTGACTGCTAAAATGATTGAAAAAGGAGATCTGAATGGGATACTCTTAACTGGTTTGTTCCATCTCTTTATTCTGACTTTCGATTAATATTCAAACCTTCACACTTTATTGATATTGTTGCAACTATTTTTAGGTATGACTCAGGATTGTGTTGATCTGTTAGAGAAATATGTCAATAGAGTAAGTGACTGACTGATTCATAATTTCCTGTAAACATGATGTATCAGCTGGTTTAAAGATGGAAGGGGTGAGGATTCAGGGTGTGGTTCACAGGTGGTAGGGGGACAATGAATACAGGGTGTGGTCCTCAGGTGGTAGGGGGTAATGAATACAAGGTGTGGTCAACAGGTGGTGGGGAGCAAAGGATTCAGAGTGTGGTTTAAAGGTGGTAGGGGGTAATGAATACAGGGTTTGGTCTACAAGTTTCTACAAGGGGGCAAAGGATTCAGGGTGTGGTTCATTGGCGGAAGAGGAGCAAAGTTGTAGCAAAGGGCACAGAGAGATCAATTATTTGACCTTGTAAAAATGTGGGTCACAAGCAAAATGTGGTTGCAGGGTAATATAAGCGTCAAATGTACAGGGCAGATTTTGCAGCTGAAGGTGAGAATCAGTACTTTAGATGTAGCGTTATTCAAGAGGCAATGTATAAGGAAGTTGTAGACTGAACACCATTTCCTCCTTAGACAACAGATATACAGACTGCAAGTCTAATTATAATCAACTCATCACCAAACATTCCACCTGAGATAGCAAAAGATTCAAGAGTTAATACTTGGATACAAAGGTAAGTACATACAAAGAGATACAAACTGAATCCAGCTTCTATACTGCAGCATTTGTTTCAGTTTATTATTAATGCTCAATATTCTTTAAATGATAAATGATAATGGTGTCAAGATGGCTTGTATACAGACAAGAGGGGAATATAACAATCTAACATCCAGACATACATCAGTGGTGGATCCAGGATTTTTCAAAAGGGGTTCCGTTTCTTAAACTGTGTAAAATTCTCTTTTGTTTAGTCAATGTTTGACAAAAAAATTGGCTCTAATCACCTACAGCTGTAATTTACTATATATCTAGTAACGAAACTTAAAGGTAAATTAAACAATATGACAGCAAATATCTATCATTTTGTGTTCAACATTATCTTTGTGGAATACTTTTAAGCAAAATTTATATAAGACATATTTCTATTACCTAAAAGATCAAACCTTCAAAGGGGGTTCCCTGGACCCCTTCAACCCCCCTGGATCCACCACTGTACATTTTTGCTTTAACACTGTTATTGAAGTTTGTACAAGAAAAAAGAATAGATGAAAAAAAAAAGTTTGTACAGAATGTGAATTTTTTTAAAAATCTTTTAGTGAATGCATGCATATAATTTCTCTTACTGTGATTCCCAGTCGAGTTTGGGTAGATGTCAATCAAAAGAGTTTCTATCGTTTCTATTGGTTTCTACACCAGGACAGGTGTGAATACTCACGAGAACATAAGCAAACATGCAAAAACTGTTGCCCTTATCTTATGCTTCTTGTCAATGTGAATTTCTCACTCTGGATATATTTTCTTAAAAATGTCACAGGATTCCAGCAATGAATCTCAAATGCTTGATTGCAAAGTTATCACTATGACAATGATTTGAGTTTCTTCAAGATARGATAAGTCAATACTGATAGTTTGCAGTTTTAAAAACGTTTGAAATTCAGAGTCAGAATCCTTAGACATGTTTAAGAAACCATTTGTGATTTAGGACTCATGTGGTCGAATGTGACTGGGAATCACATTAACACTATTCTTTTGTCGTTCAATGCTTCATTTGCTTTGCTTGCTTTAAGGCCAGAGGGATACAAGTAGTTCAGCATACTTGCTTTAATTAGTTTTGAAAACACAAGGATTTCACATTCTGTACAATCTTTGTTATCGCCTATTGTTTTAGCTTGCATGTGCTTGATATGTGTTTAAGCAAGAAAGTCTTGATAAAACAATCCCAAAATGACGTTATGATGGAAAAGGTTTTTTGCCCATGTTGATCTGAGAGCTTTTTATCTTGGGACAAAAGTTCTCATGTTACATTCTGACTTAGTTGTTGACATTCAAATCATTCTGACCTTTGATCAAGTCACATTTTGACATGCAATGGAAAATAAAGAAATCCAATGGCATTGAATATTAGAGCCTCTCATAGGATGAGATATATTCACAGGATGAGAGATAGACATTCCTGAAATTCTATTTGCATTGCAGCTATAGAAATTTGTTGGACATGTGGCGACTGTGGCATCAAAGGTACATTAAAATTTATATTTGAACAAAAAGACTATTTGATTTTGCAAACAAATTGAAGTAGCTGTGTTCTTAAATTTGTTTCCATCACAGAGCAAAACTAGATATTCACTACTCATTGAGGGATAATTCTCTCAAGCCTCCACAACAAGTCTTTGTTACCTGTAATTTCTGTGGAAATTCTATTCTCTCTTCTTCTGGTCCCTCAGGTTGGTAATTGTTTCTTCATTTTTCTTGGTTACAATTTCCGTGTCTTTTTTTCTTTTTACTTGATTTTTTCCTTTGTTTTTGCTTACTTCCTTTCTTCTCTCTTTTCTTCTTTTCCCTCCCTTCCTTTCCCTTTCCTTCTATCTTCTTTCATTCAAAGCTTGTTGCTGTGCAGTATGACTGATTTAACAAATCAAAAACAGTTTTCCGTGTTTGATACTCTGATCAAAACACTTGGGATGTTGGGAGAACACGAGAGGAGCGTAGGAAACCATGACGCGTAGCAGAGTGGTTTCCAGCTTCTCGAGTGTTCTCCCAACATCCCAAGTGTTTTGATCAGAGTATCAAACACAGAAAACTGTTTTTGATTTGTTTTATAAAATAACAAACGCGCGAAAAGACCAAAAAAAAGCAAAGTCTAAGTAAATTCTCCCTACGTGCCATTTTATTCAAACTGACCAATGAGCGTGCGCGATAGATTAAAAATGACGATAGCGTGTTTTGATACTCTCATCAAACATGGTTTTCGACCAATCCTAGCGCGTGTAGTATACCAATTATTTTATAATACACTTTCATTTCACAGATTCAAGACCAAGAAAAATTGCACAGTATAATAATCCTTCCAACAGACCAAAGGTAGACCTTGTCGGCCTATAACATGAATGGGTACACTTTAGGCTGATAACATGCTTTGTTTGATTTGTGGTCCTTGACAATGAATCACATTTTTGGATGGTCTCCTAAACAGCAAACTCATACCTTTAATTTGCAAAATATCTTTCATTAGTGTCTACTGTCATTATCAGTTGCAACTAATACAATATTTTCAATATAATTTGTTATCTTTAAACAGATTTTCCCTACTATTGTTTGAAAGTCAACTAACTAATAGTTGTGTGTTTAGAGTACTAAACATTGATGGCAGTGTGAGGGTTCATATGTAGCTGCAGAACATCTCTGGAAATGCCTTATGGCATAATACACTGCATCCATTAACACCAGATCTGTGTTGTTTAGGTAATGGGCTGCCCTGGGTGTCGCAAGCCACTTCCAAGATGTTCTCTTTGTCTAGTTCACATGGGTACACCATCAACTCTACCACAGAAACCTCCAAATATTGGTGAGTTGCACATTGTTGCTTTTGCGCAGTGTGGAAAATAATACTGGCTCTCTAATGTCTATCACAAAGGTTTACCAATATTAATTTTGGACCTAACTGGTTCAAAGGCAGCCCAATTTCAGTTTTTGTCTGTATTTATATTGCAAAAATTCAATATTCATAAATCATTCTTTATTATTTGTAACAAATTCCTTCAATAGACTTTTATGGAACTTCTTGTGTCTATTTTAGTTGTTATTTGTACAAAAGAAGCCTTATTTCAAGGATTTTCTTACTTCATATTCCCCCCCACATGGGCCAGTACCTTTATTCTCTTAAATTATTTATCATAATTTGTAAATATTTATTGCAGTTGTAATTCTGGGAATATATTATTGTTGTTGTTGTTAAAAAAAGATAAATTTAGTCCTTGCAGAAAAATTTGAAAACATTAAAAATTTGAAAACAATTTGAAAGAATAAGCAGTCTCACTTTAACCTTTCACAACAAAAACTGTATACCTATTTCAAATAATGAATGGATGGATAAATGAATGGATGAATAAATGAATGGATTTGGCAGTGGTTCTAAAGGGTGGGTCATATTTTCTTCGAGTGCATGTTACATCTTCACAGCCATGTTGGTGCCATTTAAATAAAGATTTCTCATTAGCATGCATCCTTGACCACACCAAGATGGCCTCTATGTTTTTATCTTTTGACACTCTTGGGAATGCAACCCACCAATTAAATCTTGTATTAAACTAATGAACCCTTTTTTTGTTTAGATCTGAATGCTGAAAAACCAAAGACTGTCAGAAGCATTAACCAGTTTTCCAACTGGTTCACTTGGTGCCAGTCGTGTCGTCATGGAGGACATGCCAACCATATTATAGACTGGTTTAGGTACATTAACCATAAAAGACAATATTAAATTATCAATCTTGATACTGTCCGGTTAACCTGTGTTATCAGGTTCCCAGACTCCCATGGCTAGAGATCCTGGGTATTTAGGTTAATGTCCAGATAGTAACTTGAATAGGCTAGGGGGTGGGGAAGGGAGTGTATAATTGACATATGAGGTGCAGTATATCACTTGCCAAAAACTTAACAATAAACTTGTGCAAGGTGCAGATTGATCACAATAGGATAACATCACCGTAATGGAAAGATACTGAGACAGGAGAGCACAATTTATTATTCAAAATCATCCCCCAGCCAAACACACTTTCAGTTGCATCATGAATACTAGACAAAGTTTCTGCATAAATAAATATCTATTTGCAATCAAGTAATGCACTTTGTTCTTACAGGGAACATTCAGAGTGTCCTGTTACATCATGTCCATGCCACTGTATGAAGCTAGACTCTGTTGCTATGGCAACACCAACTGAGGGGGCAGATAGTACGAAATCCAGTCCAGTATTAAGCACCAAAGAAAAACAGCCCAGCCTCACTCAACATTAATGTCGAAAACTCGCAAAACGACAATAACATCAACAAGATTACGAAAAATTAACACATCATTCAAAAGATTTCTTGTGGAGGGAATAAAATAACTAGAATGAAATAATCATTATAATTGCAAATTCATAATTTTGTAAAGAAGTGTACATAATATGATGGTTTTTAGAAAATAGAAAATAACATTCCTGAAAAGCTATTAAAAAATTTTTGCAAGGGCAAAAGAATAGTTTGTTTTATAATAAAGTCTTCAAAACGTTGTGTAACATTGCATTGCTACAAATCTCTGGGCTGATCTAAGTCAGGGCTTGGCTAACTCACATATCGAATTGGAATTTAGCATGTGTTTTGTGGAGAGAGGAAAATTGGTTAATACTCTTCTATTCGAGGTTATGGAAACCCCACTTGCTCCATGCTTTCGCAAGTAATTTTCTACCTATATATTTTCTGTATTTATTCATACCCTTGTTTTTAAAGGTCTAGTGAACCTACTGCGCAGGACCATTCGGAATTTCTGGCCATTAAAGCGCAGACACAGTGCAACATTGCAGGTAATGTTGCTGAAGTAGAATAGTTTTCTACTTCAGCAACGTTGTGTGCAGCAAATTGCGTCGTGTGTCATGGCTCGCAACATCAATTGCATGCAACATTGCGCGCAATGTTGCACCACGTGTCCGTAGCTTTGGATTCTGAAAAGTTCAGAAAAATCGTACATAAGCTAGGATGAGGAGAAAAAAGCCAAAAACTAAAAATAGCAGTTTGATTTTTCGGCCGCAATTGGCTAAACATTTTAAAAATCTTAAGATAAAATACACTGTTAAAATATAGGATAATCGAAGCACATATAAAAAATCCAGTTACATTAGGTTTGCGAAGCGAGCGAGAATAAAATTGTAAAAAAATTCACTCTGAATTTTTCCTTATCAATACAATGAAATGTATAAGACTTCTCTAACTCGTTACGCGTCGTTGCTTCATAGGAGATTGCGTCTAGGACAATGTGCACATAACTACAGTATTCACGTTTGGGCGGAACCTAACGTAGGTCGTGTAGCTGAACAGGTGCAGCTATTTTGAACAACTTTTCCAGGAAGGTAAAGTTACTGTTAACGTGGTTTCTAATAAATACCAAAATTGTGGTTACATAGTTCAACTTTTCCAGGAAGGTCAAGTTACTGTTAACGTGGTTTCTAATAAATACCAAAATTGTGGTTACATAGTTCAACTTTTCCAGGAAGGTCAAGTTACTGTTAACGTGGTTCCTAATAAATACCAAAATTGTGGTTACATAGTTCAACTTTTCCAGGAAGGTCAAGTTACTGTTAACGTGGTTTCTACTAAATACCATAATTGTGGTTACATAGTTCATCTTTTAAAAAAAATTGTTATTGCTCAGAGATGCTCTTGGTTCAGATAGTTTTTTTTATGTTCAAGGCTACGACTACGCGACTGCAACTCACTTCTACAGTAGCTGAAGGCTTGTAATAACCGGTTTTGCCAGAGTAAATATTGCATAAGGCAAATGCTAATGAAGTGGGCACATTACCCCAAAGTAATTACATGACGTTATTAGGTGTAATTCGTCGATGTCAACAGCAACTCAATATTTCTCAAGGATATCTCTTTCATTTTAGCTCCTTGGTTTCAAGAGGCCTCTTGCTATATTACACTTTATTAATGGCATATGAATTCATTTTATTTGTGTTGTGTAAAATTTTTATCACACTAGCTTAGCGGTTCGGGCTTAGGTTCGATATATCTTATACTTATTGATTATTCATGAGCTCATCGACCAACCAGGGTTTCTTATTTGTACCACGTGCAGTAGTTTGAAACCCCCATCAAATACGACCGCTCCCATTTCCTACTACTCGGACTTTGAAATATTTCAAAGTACTAGAACTTTGAAATAAAAACAAACATAACAAAAAGAGTATAAGATGTCGTGTCACATACTCGTCACTGTATTCTATTGGGGTTTCAAAATCCTCGTAAATTTAGATTCATTTTTGAAATGGTTTTATTTACTCGGCTACGCCTCGGCATTTGAAATTCCACGAGGATTTTGAAATCCCAATAGAATACAGCAACTCGTATTTGAAACATTACAATGTGATAAAGCCGTTAATAAAATCATTTCAAAAATAAATCTAAAGTAGAGGGACTTAGTTTCTCTCTCCTGGGGATGCAAACAGCTTTGCGTTTCAGCTATGCGTTGTCAATAGTAACTGAACATGTTAGTCCCTAAGATAATGTTATAATGTACAAGTTGTTCCTGGATTAGTGAACAAAAGCGTTTTGTGCTATCGCTTGATGAAAAACATGATTAATTTCAAAAGTAATGGTCAATGGACTGAAACTGCACTTAATAATTAGTGAATTAATTGAACTGCAATGAATGGGTCCATTAAACTCTAGCTCAACTAGCTTAAATAAACATTACTATAAAATTGTAAACATGAACATCAGTTTTATGCCTCGTGACACTATTGAGAAGAAATACTACATCTGGAGACTGGTCTAGAGTGCTAACGCTAAATTAAAAACAGCTTGGTCAAGCATTTTACAAAATTTTATTTATCAAACAATGGTAATACAAATTAAATCCCTTATGAAATTGGAAGATACGCCTACTTCAATGATTGAATGCTATTGGTTCAATTTCTCACGTGATCCAGCGTATATGTAGCGAGTCACGGCTTGCCGTCCCTTATTATCTCTTATAACACTGTTCACGTTAACAAGAGCAGACCCTAGAACTATGGCGTTCCATCCCCGCCAAAATTGATGGTTTGTATTTGAAGTTCATCACATGAATTTTGCATTCGAGTAAATTTTTTTATGTTATCATCTTG